CTTGACTTGAAGTGTTAAGTAACAATCTTTTGTTTCTCTATATACATATATATATATATATATATATATATATATATATATATATATACATACACACACACATCATATATACTTGTGTAATGCACAGTCTCAAAAATTTTGTGATGTCCCCCAATTTTTCACTTATAAAAAATGATTTTATCATGTATCTCATGTATCATGCGAGTTACTTTTTTTGAGAGACCAAATTACAATGGACTAACCTCTTTCCCTCTATCCCTTTATCCCATCTTCTAGTTAAAAAAATTAATAAGAATGATAAAAGTATCATTAGTAATGCTATACCTGTTGCTTAAACACAGTCATGAACAACTGAACATGAAACGGTTAAACATCTTATAAACATAAACAATGGAAAAGTTGCATATTCACTGTTTGTATTTTCATAATACGATAAAAATATGTGAATATTACATGCATTGTTACTGGATACAGTTACGTTAAACATCAGTTTTATCAAAATCATGTTTATTTTAAATACAGCCATACTTTTTGACTACAGTAAATGGATATATAGTTTGGTCAATGGCATAAACAGGGCCAGCAGTACATACGCTAATTTTATATCACATGTATGATACAATCCTCTTAAAATTAGCTTCAAAATTAGGTCTTCAAATGCCACATGATACAAGAGTATGTATGGTATATACCAGATATAACAGCAAAGTTGTCCAAATCATGTTACAGCATAATTGGCTATCCCACAAAATGTTTAATGTCTAAAAAACCATAAAACTAATTGAGTTTCTTTTTTCCAGGTTTTCAGATAAGGCATTTAGCCATCTTGAAACCATGTTGTAAGAATCACTGAAAAACCCTTTGAGCTATTCAGCTAGAAAGACAACAGGTTAAAATCATTTTGTGTCAGCTCCACTATCTTCTCAACTGATCAATGGTGAGAGGAAAAATCATTTAGGCCTTCAGTAATGGCACCAGCATTCATACTCTGGCTTCCATCTTCAAAGTCCATTCAAGAACCATCTAGAGAATGGTGAATAAGTTTAAAAAAGAGGGAACAGTAGAAAGGAAAAAAAAACTTAAAAATGAAATTGACATGAAACCTGTGAGGCACCTTGTAAATACTGGACAGAAAGTTAGAAGACAAAAATCATCTTGAATAAATTGGAAAATTATCCTGGAATAATATATATATTTGAACTTTATTTCAATCCTTCATGAGCTTCAAGGCCTTAGCTATGATTAATTAATGTTTAATTATCGTTTTGATTGATTTCATCACAATTCTTCTGTTAAGCTTGGAGAGTAATTATACATTCTTATTGCTCAAAGTAGAGTCAAATAGTGTTATAAAAATATTGAAGAATTCCTGTAAAATATCTTTAGTCATTTCTAAGATGCAATGGTTCAAAGCTTAATCTAACAATTGTACAATTTTGCTGTTACACCATATATATATATATATATATATATATATATATATATATATATATATATATATACACACACACACACAAGTATAGGATTGGTGTATACGGAATAAATTCCAATAACCAACAATTACTATTCTTAAAAGAGTGCTCAATACAGAGTAGAGCAAATACAATTATTTATTTGAAAATTATAACATAAATATGTTATAAAATCACTACAAAAATAGCCATTTTGTTTCAACACTTCTGGTGCCTTATCAAGTGATGATGTTGAATGCAGAATAAAGGGTTTTAAAAGGTTCAAATCAATCAAACACCCCTCGCTAAGGGGAAACGCCGTTACATAAGCTGGAATGACCCATCAAAATACAAGTATACAAGAATTCAAAAAACTTGACAATGAACTAAGGTTATAATAATTATGTAATGCTTTAATGTTGGGGTTAGACTAAAATAGAATTTATTCTAATAAATATTAAAATATATGATAAAATTTGAAATCTGCCAGTGAATTAGTTTAAAAAAGAGGAAGCAGTAGAGAGGAAAACTGGATCAGGAGGTCATAACAGCAAGAGGGATACTAAATACAATCTTATTGTTTGAAGTAGAGTCCAATTATAATATAAAAACCTCAGAGAATTCCAGTAAAATATCTTTAATCATTTCTAAATTACAACAGTTCATATATTAATCTAACAATTGAACAATTTTGCTGTTACACACTTTGGACAATTTTGCTGTTACACCTGGTATGTAACAACACTACCCAATGATAATTTACTTATTTTTTTATATTTCATAATAATTTATAATAATTTATCATATTTTTTTATAATATTTTATTTATGTTGGGTTGTTTGCTTTTATGTTTAATGCTTCAAGTAATTATAGTGATTTTTTTTTACAGTTTATTGGATATGCATATTCACAGTATATAATAAGTATAAACAGTATATTTATTTATTTTCATCTGACAGAGCCTCTATTCAAATATGAGTATCCACTAAAAATAACAGAAATAAAAAAAAATCAATTCCTACATACATATATGGGTGTGAGTGTGTGTGTTCATATCAAATGTATAAATACATTCTGTATATAAGGGTCTGCAGGGCACATTCTCTTGCAACTTATGTACAAATAGGCTAGTTTTTTTTACATTACAAGTTTACTACTACACAGTGAACACAATCCTTGCTGAGTGCTGCCATAATCTGGTCTTGTGTTAGACTAAGCTTAATATTTTCCACTTTTAAAAAAATGCACTTTGTGCTTTATAATAAATAGAATTTTGAGTATGGATATGCAGAATAGTGGTTATTGCACAATGTTATATTTACTCCATGGGTTATTTGGAGTCGAAAGTGAAATCAGCAAGGCAAGTTCAAATTTTGATCAAATCTGTTGTATTTACTTTTTTGCACAAATACTCTTGAGAAAGGGGTAAGTCTCCGTCACTCCTCCCCTTAGATTTGGGTTTTTAAAAATAGCAGAATAGACTGACCTAGACTAGCTTTGGGTAGCAAACATTCTTTCTAAGAAAAGGAAACTCTGAATTCAGAAATGTGGAGAAGGCAATGAGAAACCAGTCTTTGCCTAAAATGAATGGCAATTACAGTCAAAAGAGTGCTGGGGAGGGCCATGATCGCCCACTTCCTGAGGGAAAGTGGCATTTTTTTTTTATTTTGATTACAGAAAAATATTTGTGTCGTGCGTGTATTCTCAATCAACCAGCCAATTCATATTGTAAAAAAGCAAATCGAGAAATTTAAGCACTTTTTAAACATTTTTGTTTTGCAATAACAATGGAAGCAACGACGCTCTTTTGCACCACCGCGCTGCAGGTTTCCATAAGCACCTTTCCCTGAGCAACTGGATGGGCCTGAATGCAGAGTGAAAATAAATCGAAGAGAAATAATATCTTTGCACGGTTTCTGTGAAATCAAAGCTCTTTAAAAATTGAAAACAAAATTGTTGTTGCCTCAAATCAACGTGGCTTTTTTAGTTTAACTTTAAATATCCTGTTTAATATTTTTAATTTCAATTTATTCAATTTTTTCTTAAATTTCTAATTGAAAACAAAATAGTTTCCAGACGTTATGTCATAATGCAAATTTTAATGCCAGGAAAATGTGTTTTGAAGACAAGGTGAAAAAGTTGAAGAACTTCATCCACAAGAGAAGATCCTTTGTATGTTTTTTGAAACTAAATGTAGTCTTCCCATTTCAAGTAGAAAAGTTAAAACATCCTATTGAATCCCAATGATTTTTCATAGCAAAGATGATTGGCATGCATATGTGCATTATTTCTTCATTGGTGTAATATTTTCTTTTCGTTTTTAATTATTTTATTCATTGCAAGAAGAGTTTTAAATTCATAGGAAATTTTTAAAATGCCTTCTTTTTTGTTTGACACTATGACTTAAAAAGGCGGTTTGAAAAACAGTTTAAGTCCCAAGCCTACATAAAACTTTTCACACTTTTTAAAAAGTTTAACTGAGTTCCTTATGTTGATTACAATAATAAAAAAATGTTAAGGAAACACCAGCGGGCTAAAAAAAAAAAAATTACAATTAAAAATTAGTAAATAAATTTAAAATTGATAATTTAGTTTACTTCATATAATGAAAATGAAAGTTTAAAAATTTAATTTTTTTTGTTTTTTTAAATATCAACTTATTTCATTTAGCTTCCTTTAAGTTTCAGACTTCATATTTGTATTTAATTTAAAAGTGGAAGCTCTTCTTTTTTTCTTCGAAATCAAATGAAAAAAAATGTTCATAATCGGATAGAAGAGAGAATAGAAAAAAAAAAATTATCAAACGTTTTTATTGTAACAATATTTTCAGAAACTTAAAGAAAAAGACTGCAATAAAAATAAATCGAATTTTAATAAAACTCACACTAAAAAATTAAAAACTTCCTGTTGGGGTGGAATAATGTTTAAGTTATCTCCAAAAATGTGCAATAAGCAGAAATTACTACTGTGTCAATTAAATTTACAGTAATTTTCTATTTTTATTCCTTATACTACAGTGATTTTATTTTGTTTGTTTTTAATATCTGATTTCAACCGTAAAATTAGCAAAAATCAAACAAAAAATAATACCAACACAGATGTAATGCAAAGTGAATAGTGTTTTACTAAATTGGATAAGCTTCTTAATTATTATACAATACGTTAATCAAACAAAATAAATAAAATGCAGAGATATTTTTAACAATATTATTTAAAAAAATAATGCGAGGAAAGCTTTGGACAGAGTATTTCTTCAAGTCAAGCCCAAATTATAGCATGTAGGATACTCTGTAAACAAAAACAGGCGAACGTCACGTGGTACTTCTGCCTCATAAATATGATACAGCGTGTCAAACTCGAGAGGCTACGGAAGTTCAAAAGTGTAACAACAAAACAAACAGAAACCGCACTGTAAAGTTGTTCTCTGAATTCTATCCTTTTTATATCTCATTTTTAAGTGTGTTTTCTTGTCTTATTTTTTCATCGCCCCCCCCCAAACCACGTGCAAGCATTAACTTTAGCAACAAATAAAAAATTAAAAAAACTCACCTAAGACTCGACAACTTTTTCCTTTTCATATTCCTAAGTTCCTGAGTATGTAAATTAACTGACCATCGCCCCTGACCGTCAACGAGTTTGCTAGTTAAAATTTCCATAATCGGATCGCTTTCTTCATTTTCTCCTTTGTCGACGTGTTGTTGGTCATAGTAATGCTTATGGCGATGATGACGATGATGATTATCTACTTCGTCGTCGTCCAGTTCGTAATTTTTTAAATTATTTTGTTGACCATAAAGAGTTGTCGCACGAGTGAAGTGGTAGTCGGCACCATCGTCTTCTTCATCTTCGGGTATTTCTTGCGTATCTACAGGAATCACTTTGCCCAATCTAGGCTCTAATTTCCAATGAGTTGAACTCCGGGTTTGATGTTGCACAAGATGCAAAGAAATCAAATAAATTGCCATAAATACGGACGATGTTGGGGGAGATAAAATATCATAAGGCCCCATTACTCTTCTTTTTTCCCCCTTTAACACTTAACAACAATAACAACACAAAAAAAAAATAAACAACCGTCGTTAGGTTAGATTTTTTTCTATCTTTCTTTCTCTGTGTTACACGTTTTCGCTATATTTTTTGTTTAAACTAAATTACTTCCCCTTTCTTTTTTTAAATCCGATTTTGACAAGTGTAAAAAGAGAAAACGCGCCGCTGGTGACTTAAAATGAAATAAAAAAAGGAGCATGTTCCTTATTCAACACTTTCTAAAAAAAAGTTTTAAATAAAGGTCCCGATTTAATTATAAATTCACTTCAAAAACGACTAAAATCCTGTCAGTGCGTGGGCTGTTACGAAAATATGGAACCCACTTGGGGAAACGAAAAAAATAAATTATAAAAATAAAAAAATGCAGTAAAAAGATTTAAAATAAAGTAAAAACCCACAAAAAAAGTATTGTAAATTTTTATTGTAAAAATATTATTGATACGGCTTTATCAAGTATACTGATAAAATAATTTAAAAGTTAATTTCATCTTAAGATTAATTAATTGCACAATATTATCAATAAATAACTTTTCAATGTTAATTTATTATCAACTAAAATAAATTATGAAATTAACTTAATCATGTCACACTACCAGTTTCTTGTGGTTTTTTTTCTTTTTTACCACAATGATTATTTGTTACATTTTTGTTGAAAGAATGTCAGTCAGACACAAAAATAAAAAAGTTATTAAAAAACATTTAAAAAAAAAACTTTAAATGGTAAAAGAAAAAGAAAATTTAAAAAAAAAATTTCCTTTTTCTTTTACCATTTCTTTTTTTTTTTTTCATTCTAGATAGCATGATTATTTCCCAAATTAAAGACTTCATTTAAAAAGTTTCTATTTATGTATGATAAAAAATCAGTCTTGCATCAATAAAAAGTACTTATATAAAAAAACAAGAAATATAAACAGTCAATTGTTGATACCCCCCTGACGAGTGGACGGAGTGATTGTTGGAGGGTGCGTCCACGAAACGACGGAGTCGAGATGATGGAGACAACACCAATTAGTTAAGTAAAAAACTTTATATTTGTATCTCTCTCTCTCTCTCTCTCTCTCTCTCTCTCTCTATCTATCTATCTATATATATATATATATATATATAATTATTTATTTTAAAATTATAACATAAATATGTTATAAAATCACTATGTTATAATTTTAAATAAATAATTATATTCGCTCTACACTGTATTGAGCACTGTTTTAAGAATAGTAATTGTTGTTTATTGGAATTTATTCCGTATACACTAATCATATACTTGTATATATATATATATATATATATATATATATATATATATATATATATATATATATATATATGAATGAAGAAAAACTTAAAAATCCATGTCGGTTATAATTTATTTCATAAATATTTTTATTATATTCATCGCTTCAGGCCAAATATTTTTAAGAAATAGAATAAATCCAAACAGACAGTTATACTAAGATAAAAAGGAGAAAGGGAAAATAAAGAGAGAGAGAGAGAGAGAGAGAGAGAGAGAGAGAGAGAGATATAATATTAATAAAAAGAAAAAATAACTGCTCAGTTCAAAACATGAACAGGTCAAGTGCTCATTATCATAAAAATACCATTTATGGATATAAACAATGTGGACATAGGCATCAACAATGCATAGTGATTGTCAGTTTCAATATAATATTCAGAACAGATTTGGGATAAAGATCACATTGGGACATGAAGGTGGTGATGGCTCTTTCCACACTGTAGCAATTTATCAATATATATATATATATATATATATATATATATATATGTGTGTGTGTGTGTGTGTGTGTGTGTTTGTTCATACTGTCTATATCAATCTAACTATCAATATATATATATATATATATATATATATATATATATATATATATATATATGGCCCAGTGGATAAAAGCGTTGGTTGAAGTAATCCAGTGACTTGATCCAAAGAATTCTGAGTACAATACCTGGACATAGCATAGGTGAGCAAAAAACTTGGAAAGTTGAGTTACTAAAGGGAAATAACTGAAACTGAGATATCTGAAAGAGGCATAGCACGTGGAAAAATCTACCTCGGTCGACAAAATGTTCGATATTCCAATCACCTGAAGAAGGCCAGAGCTTACAACGGCCAAAACGTTGTGAATATGACAAAATAGATGAGGAAAACAGCCCAAACAATGTAAATAGTGTAATAATTACGATACCTCATCTCATGAATATACAAAGATAGCAAATATAAGATATATCAAATAAGATAGATATAAAGGAAGGCATCAACTGTTTAATCACTATTCATAATGATTTAATTGGTGAATGAGTTGTCAGGAGAAATGAGGTTAGCAAAGCAAATGAAACTTTATGGTAAGTTGAGAAAAGAGGATGTTAGATTATGTGATACCCTTTAAACAACAAAGTAATCCAGGGCAACATACGAAAACTTAAAACAGACAATTTTCAACATGCTTGTCTAAACGACACACAGCGAGATCAAGCTCCCCTGTATATGATGTCAACTCACTCTCTTCAATTATAATTCTACAAAGTTGTACCAACTTCTAAAAGTTTACCACAAATGACATTCATTCAACAACTCCTTCCATTTAACAAATGGACACTCTCACTATAACATTGATATATCAATCCCTGAACAGCTCAACAATTTTTGACTGTACTACATTAATTTTATTGACACTTTACTTTCTCTAATAAAGATTTTTAAGACTTCACTTACTACAGTAAGTCCCCACTTTCTTCTGAATATCACAGTTATTAATGCTTAATAAATGCATTCAGAAAATGTCAGCCTTGTTTCCTCAGTATAGTAGCTGTTGTCTGGATGGATTTTTACTCTTCTTCATATTTCCAATGCTTGCGTTCTTTTTCTAAAGCTCTTTGGGAAAATCCTAAACGTGTCTGTATAGATGGGAACAAGTATCATCTTCATGATCACCTTTCCTAGCCATTTATATCTATTTTCTTTTTTTTTTTACTCCTTCTGAAGACGTGTGGATAGTGTAGCAATTATCAGTACAGAAAACAGAATTGGCAAATCAAGTCAAGTTCAAATTACAGCCTCGTTTGTTGTGTTTATTCTAATACTTTTGCAAAAGGTATGAATCCATCTCTTCCCCTGTAAGTAGAAATAAAAATAAACTTTTTTCTAGAACAACGCACTGGAGGGATAGGTTTTATCTTTGAGACCTGCGTAAAATGAACAATGCCACATAATGACAATTTTAAACATATTACTTTTCCTTATTCAATTTTGTGCTTGTTTTTTTGTAAGTGTACGTGTATGTGTGCGTGTGTGTGTTTTGGTGCACTTGAGAACTGCTGTTCAATTTTATTGGGCACTTGTTCACAGCGGCAAAAAGATACGCACTAGTTATGCCTATGCTTTTCCTATTTGAATTTTACTGATGACTCATGTAACTGACGTTAAAACGTTTCGACAGGCACGCATGCATTGATAACCCTATCAGCAGCAGCAACCCCTTTTCAGCTTTTGGGCCTGCGTAAAAAGAAAAAACTGAGAGCATGCGTTCTGTTAATCCAACGAAGCTAGTTAGCCTTCACTTCGGACCAAGATCGTGATAGGACGCTAAAATTAGCACTCCGTGCAAGAGACGCACATGGCTCACTCTTTAACTCACCAACAGAGTAAGTTCAATTTTTTTATTCATTTTTACAAATATTCTTAAGATCCTTCCTTGAATGTGCACTTTCTTTCAAGAGCATTTTTTTGAAATTTTCTCTATACAAAAATGTTTTCGATAGTGTTTGTTTATTTTCTCAACCAATTCAACACTTAGTTTTATTCGACGCCTTCTCAACTTGAAACGACGATCCCCAACTTAATAACAGCAGTTTGGTGACCCGACTTAGAATAGTAAAAGCAACCTAACTCATAGTGATTTTCCAAGTGCAGCTCAGATGTGGCACAAGGCCGAAAGTATGGGGCACCCAGTGAGGATCGAACTCACTACTCAGTCATAATTTTGCTAGCAAGACAAGCTTGCTAACCATTACACCACCTCGAGGTGCCCAACCCAACTAACTCATACACACAAACGTAAGAAAAACACAGGAAAAAAAAATTGAACATTTAAAAGAAAAAAGACATTGATAACACTTTTCTCTTCCATATCATGTTTAAATCCTCAATATATATTGCTTGTCCCACATCCACCTCAGGTTCAAATTCATATGACCGAGAAAAACGACTATTTCTACCACGACATATTTCTTTGTCTTTGCTGGATATGAAAGTATAAATTTGATCTAATCCTTTTCTTCTTATTCACTAATAACTCATCGGGTTTTTTAGATTTTTAATTGTTATTTTATTCTCCTCCCCCACAGACAATGAATTGTATATATGGGGACTAGTTAGGACTTCATAGAGTTTCTGAGGTATTATGGTGGATGAGGTAAGAATGGTAAGTAAGAATGAGTTGTTTTGGTGAAGGAATATTGTTTGTATGTTTGGGTCAGTGTTTGCGGCTAGCTAAATTTAATGTTAAGAGAGAAGATG